CGGCTGAAATGGCTAATCGCTCTCTCGTGTTTCCTCCAGATGGAACTGGAAGCGTTGCGGTCTATATACGAAGGAGACGCGTGTTTCAGGGAGCTGAGCCCGGTTTCCTTCCAGTACAGGGTAAGGCAGCGTGAAGTTCTGTAGGTCGGGGCAAGGCGTTGCTGCCCGCGCGACGCAGATGTTTTCCTGTCAGACGGTGCAACATCCTCTTCGGCGTGACGTTACTCTGTGCGTTTTGTAGGTACAGCGCAGTTTTTGTAACGCAAAGGGGTGCTCCACAGGCTGTAAAGGCACCAAAGGCTAGATCTGTCGGCTGCTGTTCCAGAATCTTTGGTACGGTGATGCTTGATATCACACCGCTTAATATTTAGGCACCTGCCTCCAGTGTGCGTTTATTATCCCTTAACTAGGTAATCTGCTTGCACATCTGTCTAACGCATAGCGTATGTAACGCACAGAACTGTCAAACTGGCCAGAGCATGCCGAGTAATACTTGCAATAGCCAGTAGGAAATGACAGTTACAGAAAAGCGTATGTGTAAAGTCTGCGCCTTCCTTATTGCTCAGTTGCAAGGTTCTCATTTTCTCTCTGGGGGTAGTTTATGTGCCTTTTCTAGCTGCTAAGGAGGAAAATGCACAAAATGCTTTCGGTATGTATACTGGTGTAATTGGCTTTGGGGAAAAGTGCAGGAGGTTCTAGTTTGAGGTTTGCAATTCACTTTGGCATGAATTTCTTGCCGTCTTTCTCAAATATGATGAATTGGAAGTTCTCCTGGGCGTGGGCTGAGGCAAACCTTTGGACTGTCAGAGAACTTCACTGATGAAAACTTAGGTGCACATGGGACAAAAACTCTGAACTTGCTGTGTCCCTCAAGTGGGGTGTAGGCGTCTAAAACATTTTGATGATTTCTTAAGACTTCAGAATAGCACCTTTAATTGTAATGAGAAAGGTTGATTAGGAAATAGCACTTGAATCCCACCCATGCAAGTGCAGTCTTCCTTTATTGATAGGACTGCTTCTTTGCAAATTTTTTGTTCTCAGCAGAGTAAATGTAGCCTGCCTACCTGCCTACATACAATGTTGCATTCTACATTTGGCTAGCTTTTGTCCTTGCTAATTTTTCATAGACAGAGAATAATCATGGAAAAATTAGGAGAACCCAATTTAAATACTATATACTTAGTGTCAGATAGAGACCATAGCACATATTTCTTGTGAAAGAAAATGTGCATTATAAGATAGTATAGTACGATTAACTGCATGATAAAGTTGAAAGAATTAATATGCTCTTTTTCTGAACCTCATTTGCCTACCACATAGGTATTTTGTAATCACTGTGCTAAAAAAATTGAGATTAAAGAAAGACTTTTCAAATCCTGAGGAAAATGTAGCAGCATCATTCAGAGTAAGGCTGCCCAATTTGCAGGCTGCACTGACAGGAGGAGTGGTAACCATGCATCTTTCTCTATGGTTTTACTCTGTAATGTGCAGGCAGTGTTTTCCTCACATGAGGAAAACTCTGTAAAGCATACCACCAGTTCTCTTCATGGTGGCTCTGGGAAGTGGACTGCTTCACCGTGGATGATGTCTTGATAAATGTAGCAGAGTCCTGATTTAATGCCTTTAACCCTAAAACAGATGCCACTGAATATCACTTAGTCTACTCTGCTGACACAGAGACCGTAAACAAAATGAAAAACACTGATTTCAAAATATTGAAATGGGATCATTTGAATTTTGAACCATTTTAAAGTGCAGTAGCCTTGTCGCGATTAGGAATTTTTTTTGACTGCACTTCATTCCGCATAGGTCGATGAAGCCAGATTTTGACGCTTCTAAAATTAAGGAAATTCTTCTTGTGGTTTTAAAATACTAACTAAACCAACTTAATTACAGTAGTGTAACAAATCCATGTATGAAATGTTTATTTCTTTTTCTGTGGTACATTTTTGTTAGCCTATACTAATTTTCTGTAAAAAAATGTTTTAGTTTTTATTTCACAGAAGTTAACATAATCGTAAGGATCATAAATGCAATTTAAATGAATCACTAAAGCTAAGTGTTTGAGAGAGTGTTTGACTTAGATGTTATTTCGGTTAAAGTGAGCCTTTTTTAACATAACGTTATGTTTTTTTTTTTTTCTTTTCCGCCTAGTTTCATTCTACTGGCTTCTTGACTGTTCTTTTGAGTCATTCTTTCTTATTGTAAGCTAAAATATCTGTAGGGTAAGACAAAAATACTAAAATTTTTACCTATTACTTGTGCTGTCTTAGGTCATTAATTTATTTTGTTCTGTATTTCACCACTGTGTTATGGTTTATTTTCATAATGGAAAAAAAAGAAGGTTTCATATTTTCTTTTCTCATATATGATTGTGTAGTATTTGCCTTGTAGACACTACAAAGAAGCATTTAAAACCAAGCAACATCTCCATAAAAATAACTTAGAATGCTTCTGCTCCATTTTCATAGGATGAAAACTGCAGAGTAGAGGTTAATGTTCATATGTAATACTTCTTTTCTAGATAAGAGCTTTATTTTCTGACAGGTAATAGCATGAAAATAGTTGTTATCTTCAGAAGAAATTTCAATAGTCTTAAGTGAAAGATGCACATACTGGCATTGTAATCTTTAATGAGCAACTGAAAACTGTTAATTTATGAGGTTTTTCTTCTCCCTCCAGATAGGTGAAAATGGAGATCCCAAAGCCTTTCTAATAGAAGTTTCTTGGCCAGAAACATATCCACAAACAGCACCAGTCATATCGATGGATGCTTTCTTCAACAACACAATGTAAATATTTAGGACAGCTTCACTCCCTAGTTTTATATATTGGGGAGATTTGTTGGTTGACAAACTTTTCTTCTTCTGTCAAGATTGTAACTGAATTTTATGATTTCTTTTAGATCTTCAACAGTTAAACAAAGCATATTGGATAAATTAATGGTAGAAGTTGAAGCTAATCTTGGAACTGCTATGACGTATACGCTTTTTGAATATGCCAAAGATAATAAAGAATTGTTCATGGAAAATCAGCCTGTTAACACTGTGGTAAGTAGATAAACTGAGATCCTAATCTATTGCTTTTAAATCACTTCTCAAATATTTTATATGTAAATAGCAAAAAATGGTTATTAGAACTCTAAATACTTTATCATTCCGTCTTTAACATGTTGATCAGTATACTGCATATAAACATGTTAGTAAGTAAACAGTGGCACATGGAATATGGTACCACAATGCTCTGTGGTCATAATTTTTCTATATATATTTTTATATATATATATATATATGACAGTCAAGATATTTCAGTAGATCTGGTTCAGTGATCATATTCAGATATCTTCATTCTGTATTTATACTGGCTTCTTAAGTATGATAGGTGAATGCAAAATATTAATAGCAATTTTTATCCTTCTCAGACTTCAGCAAGCAATAGTATTGCAATTGGAACTCCTGATGTGCCAGCAAGTAAGAAGAAAGATAAAAAGGAGCAGTTATCCAAAACTCAGAAACGAAAGCTAGCTGACAAAACAGGTTTGTTCGCTGTAACGCTGTTTTGTTTGAGCAGTATGGGAGTCTAACTTTTATAGCAGTGACGTCTTGCTGGAATCAGGATCAGTAGTCTCTTTGCTTATAAAATTGATTACTTTAAATCTATGATCTCTGTTTTACTTATTTTACATGAATTATGTGAAATGTTAGTTCTGATCAAAACAGCTTCCTACAGAGTACAAATTTTAAGATATCTTTTGTTGTTATTATTATTTCTTTTTAATTTGTAACAAAAGTGCAATTTTCGAAAATATTATTTGGGGAGAGCATTTGGGACATCTAAAAGGTGTGCGTTTTGTTAACGGGCCCTGATAAGTAAATCACGTTATTAAGAACGTAATTTCTAAATGGTAACGTTATTTTTCAGATCACAATGCTAAAACATTTAACTTAGTTTATATTCTCAAAATAGAGCTGCTTCTGCAGACGCTCTCTGCTTTTAATGAAATGATGTGTTAATTGAAAAATGTTCAGCTTTTTAACTGATTCTGCAGAGGATTTGTATGTGTTCCCACTTAATTTTTTTAATGATCTGGATGATACTATCCTACTGCAGCAATAATTTATACTCTGTGATAGGAATTTCTGCTTATCATTTACCTATTCTAAATGCATAACTGGCATCCTAAATACTGGTCTTCCAAATGGAATTATGTGTAAAATTTTGTTCTTTGATAAAATGCGTCATTGCTGCCCAACCCAGCGTCGTTTTAGAGTTGCCTTCTAAATCAATGTTAGATGGACTGTCTTAGGTATTTTTGTTTAAACAGAATTACTTTGAAGAATAAAATGTGTTTTTCTGAGATTTGCCTTATTTATGTCTTTTCATTGACTTAAACTTGTAACGACAAATAAATGTTCTTTAAAAGTCTGTCGTAAAAGAATATTCAGATATTTAAGAATAGTTTCAGAATAATACAGTTGTTTAAGAACAATTGTTAAAATAAATTTTAAGAGAGATATTTTAAATACAACAGACATTCATGTTTCCTTTTGTCCCCATAGCTTTGTAATGGAGAAATTCAGGGTTTTTTAGTCTTTAGCATTTTGTTTGTTGACTTAAAAAAAGATAAAGGTTCTCTTTACCTCGTGTGTTGAAAATAAAAACTGCTTGTTCCGCAGATCACAAAGGGGAACTTCCTCGAGGATGGAACTGGGTGGATGTAATTAAGGTAACATGATTGTTAGACTTACAAAAATATACTGCATATGTACTTTGGTTTCCTTCAGATGTAACTGCAAATTATGTTTAATCTGATGTCTTTTTGCTTTTCTTCCTAACTTTGTTTGGATTTGACTGTGATGTCTGATTCATTTCTATATACGTCCAGCATGTAAGTATTCTAAAGTTATCTTTTTTTTAATACTGAAAAGATTTGCAAGAAATAGTAAGAATTGTTACTCATTTTCAGTCCTAATTTACGTATTTCTCAAATGCTTTAAAAATATTTAATTCTTCTGAATATTAAATAGCATCTGAAGCACTTTCATTCCTCTTTGAAACTTTAGTGTTTTTTTTCATCTACTGAGCAATTAAATTGTAGTTTTTTAACAAGAGACCTTTGATATCCAAATGCACTGCAAATACTCTGCCTTTGTATGACAGCAAGATATAAAGAAAAGTTAGTAGTGCCGCCAAGTTCTGGAGAGCAATGGATAGGAAAGTAGAAGTGATCAGTAGCTTTTCCAAGTAGGGGCACCTTACTATCTCCTACAACCCTGAGCGTTCTCTGCTATAACTCCTCCGGTGAAGAATTCTCTTCTCCTTGTTCCCTCAGCACTGATTTCTTTCACCCCCTTGTCTTTGCTGTTAAGCGGAAATGAGTATAGCTGCCCAACGTTTTTTATAGCAAACTTCTATTTTATGCAGCATTAATTAGTTCTCAGTGTAAGACTTAACACCATTTCTAGTTGTTAAATACCAGTGAGCAAACGGTGATTTTAAGCAGAGAACTTTTGAATGAAGGGTGACTATTTGGAGTGGATACCTTGGATTCCAGAGAAATTTTCTGATAGATGCACTACTTCTAATAATTATGAACTTTGCTTTAAAAAAAGAGGAATAATAATTTAATGTCTGTTTTTACATTTCATGCACATCTGTATGTGGGAACTGTTTCAGAGATGTGTGGAGATAACAGATGCAATAACTGAAAAAAGTTTTATTTTGGAGAGCTGGGGACAAACTCTTCAGTTTAAATAGAAACCGTACCCTTTCAATTTATGTTTTTGAAAGTGGTTTATAAAATGTGGGAAGATACAGTTTCAGGTGGAGGAAATAAGTTTGTTTAGTTTAATAAGTTTATACGCTTAAGAAATATTTTTGAGTCATTTGCATCTCTTGGTACAGTAGCACAGTCTGTATTTTAACTAAATATATGCTATACTATACCTGTATTCTGTGTAAGATGGAAATAACGTTGTTCTTGTTTCCTAATAAATGGAATAGCAGTCTAAACTTTGAACACTTTCTTTTTGTGTCTCTTTTATAGTTAAGCAAAACTGGTTCTAAAGATGATGAATAAAGGACTTTGGTACAAGGAAACTCCACCTTTTAATACAGTGCAATTTTGGGTCACCATCTTTCTCTTAATAACTTTCTTACTTGTTGAAGTAAACGTTTTATAAAGCTCAATTTCCTAACTCATAAACCTAGTCACAAAAGTTTATCTAGAGACTTTGTGATCTTTGACAACAAAACTTGCCTTAAATGAAGGTTAAAATGTGACAAAGGATGTAGAGAGCCAATGTGGTGAAATGAGTAGTGATATATGCAGTGTTAATTAATTTATATTTTACTCTGTAGTAAAATCCTGTTATAGTGAACCCAGTGATACTGTAAACATTTCCTGATGTTCCTTTTCCAATAGAAGAAAAAAGCACTATAACAGTGATTTGTCACTTGACAGCGTAATTCATCAAAATAAATTATTCCATGGAAACAAAACCTTTGTCATTTGTTTATCTAATACAAATATAGAAGGAGAACATAAAAATTGTTGTATGACAGTAAAGACTAGAGTTTGTGGTCTTATTTTCACTAGTTATTGGCTAAAATGGTAAATTCCAGCAAATGCAAGGCCAAATATTCTTGTCTCTTCAAAAAGAGTGGTTATAGCAGGATTGTGTCTCTTTATTTTGTGCAGTGTACATCTGTTAGTCTTTCTCCCATGTGTATCTTTAGAGAGGCCTGAGGTTCGAGGCGGGGGGATGTGTTGCCTCGTGTGTGCCTCAGTGAGTGTTGGGGTTTGGTAACTCTTTACTGAAGAAATGGGGGTTTCTGGGAGGGATTTGTTGGCTGAATGGTGGAACAGTGGGAAGAAGTCAGCACTCTAGTGTATGTGTTGGGAAAACTTTTCTTTTCTTTTCTCTTTTTTTTTCTTTTACTGGTCTGCTCTCTTGTATTAGAAAGAAAAGTCATCTTTACTATATGAACGGTAACTGAATACAAGATGCCTTAATGTCCTTTACTTTTTTTTTTTGTTTTGAGGTGAACTTTAATAAATTACTATTTATCTGCTGTGGTGTGTGTGTTATTTTTTTTAATTGTGTATTGCCTGCCGTAGCAGGCAAGCTTGAATTTGCAAATAATTTTCTCTCACAAAGAAAGTATTCTTAAAAATTGCCAGAAAATTATCATTTTTCTTATGCTTATGTGTTCTTTGGGGTAGCTATGATTATTTTGTTAGTAGTCATCCCGCTGGAATTCATAGGCGAATATCCATCACGTCCAGCACACAGGGTCAGTCCAGTGACTCTCCTCAGTGGAGTATCCTCCGCTGCACATGTTGTGTACAGCAAGTAGTGAAAAGGATGTTACAGGCACAGACTGGATGTCTTGAGCAGTGGTACTGAGATAAGAGCCTGTGCAGCTGAGAACAGGATAGTTTACACTGCGCTCATTAGGACTGCAGTTGCTGCATGTATTTGATGACTGGAAGGTGTAGACGTTACTGATGATATCAGGAGAGCTTATGTACAATTTATATGAATATAGTTGTTAATTCTCTTAAAGTATTTGTATGTTACCAAAGGAGGATAGGCTAAATATATTGCAAAATTACAGCTTGTCTTATATATTTAAAAAGTTGTATGAAATGTTGTGACTGCAGGTGAAGGAAAAAAATTAAGAGACTGAGAAGACTGAAGAGGTCTGAAAGAAATATGGTCCCTACTTCCATCCAATAAGAAGCTTCGTTTTTATTGAAACAGTAGAGTTACAATGGGTGAATGTATGTGGTTCCTTAATAAGGAAGACTATTAATATTTGCAGAGTTTTTGATTTCACAAAGTCTAATTTCTTTTTAACTCAAATTGTGTGAGACTTTACTAGCTTTTTGCTAAAAGCAAAGTGAGACTTTTTCCAAATGATGCAGTCTTTGGTTTGGCATAAACTAGATGCTCGTGACTCCGGTCCGCACGTGTGCAAGGGAGTAGCGCTTCAGGAAGAAATCACTCTGGTAGTTTTCTGTGCTCCTCTGGCAGGGAAGGGCACGCTGCAGCTTCAGTCTCTGCCAGCAGCAGAACTAGGTGAACTTTTTCTATTCAGACTCTCACCAAGGCAATTAACTTATCTGTGCTAGTGTATCCTTGGTGTATAAATCAAGTTTCCATGACAATTTATCTGAACACGTTAGTTGGGGAGAGTGGGAGAAGGACACACAAGAACCACTTCTCTTCCCTTCCAAACGTTTCAGTGTGCAATGGCAAGTGCGTAAGCCTCGTGAAATGCCTGATTTTTCAGCTTCAGTCTGCTCAGAAATCACACGCTGTTGTGAAGATATCCTAGCAATTTCTTTTGGTTCTGTTAGCAGTGATTGAGAACATGTATTTGTTTAGAGGTCTATTTTCAAGGAAAATATTTTGCCTGAGCTTTTCCTTTCTGTGGGAATTTTGAAAGGTAATTTGTTCTCTTAACCCATTTGCTGCTATGACACAGTAGCTGGAGCATAGTCCTTTCAAAATCTAGTCCTGGATATTGTGGAAAGGCCTGAGCAGTGGAAACAGAGGAGGAGAAATGCAATGATTCTTATCAAATAATACATACTATAGATAGAGATCATGACTATTGCATGAGTTTTAAGCACTGTTTGAAAAATATCTTTTTTTTTAAAGTGAACTAATAGAATCATTGGCAGTGGAAACAGTGGTTTATGATTTATTTCAGTAGGGCAAGAGTCACTTGTTTGTAGGGCTATACTGTCTTTTTAAATTAATGGATTTTGCCGTAGGGCTTTGGTCTTTTCACTCTAACAAACATCCATACTAGCAAAAATAGAGAAAAGTAGCAGTGTCCAAGATACAGGATGATTAAAAAGGAGTTGTCAGTTATTAGAAAGTTTTCCATAATGCATAGATACTAATTGCCTTACTGAAGCACTAACCACTTGGCAAATCTCATCTGATTATGTATAGCTTGCTTTTTGAAAAAGTAAAAAAAAAAACAAAAAAAACCCCTTATCTTTGAGAGTCTTTCCTCAGGACAAACTTCGTGTAGGAAATGAGATGGTAATGCCACAGTTGTTCCGTATTAGACCCAACATTTAAATGTGAAGTTTAACCTAATTTTTTAAACTGAAATTTAACTTAACATTTCATATAGTCTCCTCAGCCTTTTGGTAAATATTTGAATCAGTTAATGTTCCTAATGCCTCAGAGACTTATTGTTTTGTGATAGATTCACTCACTTTGGGACGAAGATTACTTTTTAAAAAATTTATTGCTTTAGATGTGTCCAGTATTTTTTTTCTATAAGTTTTGAAAACAAATTTACTGAGTTGTTCAGCTATACAAATCAATACAATTATGTTTTAAACTACCTATGTTTCTCCTTTAGGAATCTTTTTTCCCCCTTTCAGCAGGCCCGCATTTTGTCATTTGTCTGCTTGCTATTAAGAGGGAGGAAGGTTGTCTTTTCTTGTCAGTCCTGGTGGTGCCCTGGAGCATGTCACTAAGCAAAGCACTTTCCAGCTTCAGGTTACGGGAGCTGCTAACATAGAAAGTGTGCGGTTTTGGCTTTAAACTGATTTGGTATCTCTAGAAAACAGTGACCTCTTCTCCAAAATCTGTCCAGCTGTTTCTGTTGATGATATGGTGTTATTTTGACCTGTGTTTGTAAAGCCTTTGAAAATTTCATAAAATGTATGGCAGGGCACAAGGACTGTCACTACTGTCACATTAGTATTTTATGTTGGGTGAAACTTTAAAGCAGTCTTTAGTCATATTTGCATGATGTTAAATACAAGTTCATTCGGTGGTGTTATTGCCAAGACCAAAGGAGCTCCACTGCAATATAATATATTAAATCCCAGGGAATAATTTGCATGCTTTTAAGTGGGTTAGATGGAGTGCCGATAGCTGTGAATAATCGACAGCATGGACCTGGCACGTCCTGCTCACCTCATTACTCAGACTTACACAGCTGCTACTGCAATCAATGCTGCTATTGTCTGCACTATCACTGCAGCTGGTGGTACATCAGGTGGGTAGATAAAGCATACCCAAGTGATGAGTGATAGATTTTGCTGAGAAAAAGCAAAGTAGAAGAGGAAGCTATTTCTTGATTATGAACCTTTGGCAGAAATGCAGCCTTAGGGAGTCAGTCTTCTCAGTTTGGGCAGTGCAAGTGGTTTGAGGCTGTACTCTGTGAACTTTGTGTTATGAAAATCATTGAACTGGTCTGAATTTACAACAGTTCCCCTTTGTAATTGTTTATATCATTTCATGATGTGGTTTATGATATTGCATCACTAGCAAAGCCGAAGAAACTGCTGTCTCATAGATAGTATCTTAAGGGGAGAAAGAAAACCAGAAGTGAATTAAAACAGAAATGAGAGTATGAGTGAGAGTAGCAGAATGACAGAGGAAGAAATGTTCATTCACTAGATAAAGTAGTAGAACTGTGGGAATACTTGATAGATTAGAGGAGAAAGTGGAGGGAGTTAAAAAAAGAAACAACAGGACATTCTGGGAAGGAAGAGCACAGGAGATAAATCTTTGTTGCTTCAAGACAATAAAACAAGACAAAAGCTAAGAGTCCAATTACAGAGCTATACATTCTGGAATGAGGTTGGGAGACGGCAAAAGACTAGAGGGTAAATCTTGCTTCTGGCGTTGTCATTTATTCTTTTGCCAACATAGCTTTGGCCTCCTCAGAATGAGGCTCTTAAATGATCCTGAGAAGAATGATTCAATTTGTCTGGCTGTTATTTTCCTATAGTCCTCTTTCTGAACCCATCAAAGTAATCTCTGAAAATCTGTTCCACTTTTAGCAGTGAGACGAAACATACTGACTAGGCATTGGGAAGACTCTACAGAACATTTGACAGAAGTGAAAGAAGTAACTTTCTTTTCTGTCACCCATTCAGAGCCAAGTGAGGAGTGACTCCAAATGGCTGAATTACACAAGACATATGAGAATCTAAATCCAGGGACCGATATCCTATGTCAGGCTGAAAGTTTCCTCATCTAGTTCAAATTTTCACACAGCTATCCTTTGCCATTGTGTCTGAGCGTTCATACTTGTAGTTCCTACAAAAACACATCTCGGGTATTCATGCTTACAAAACAGCAGAAATTGTAAAAGTCTTATTTGGGTTGCAGGCTGCAAGTTGCTTAACTTGTGGGATCTGATAAGGTCGCAGCAATGAGAGAGAGTGTTAGCCAACCTGTAACTGCACAGCTTTAGGGGAGAGTAATGGGGTTGTATGGGTGTCTCTGAGGGCATAATTTCATCTGCAGTATCTTTATTACTGGTAACAATGAATGAAAGGGAAAAGTCAGAGTCTAGGGTAACTTTGGAAGGTATCATTCAAGAAGAGATAATCTTTTTCTTCTAAAACAAGTATCTGATATGGTGTCACCGAGAGGCAATAAATGTAAAAATTATCTTGTACAGAGCCACTCTTCAGAGCGGGATCTTACCTTAAATCAAATAAGTGTCTTTGCCAGAAATGTATTTTATGATTTCCTGCAGGAAAAACAAGTGTGAGGAAAGTAATGCTGTCTAGCAAGCTGCTATCCCCACCATAGGGAACCGTTTGAGCTCTGCTTATACAAAGACTGAGGTTCAGTTGACCTGGAAGGGAGAGACTTTTTAATAGTACAGCAAAAATGAAGCAGCTCGTTGATAAGAGTCTGGTGTGAAGTACAAAGTCTCTATAGATGGTCAATAAGTTTTCACAGTGTTACCAGTTTTACACTTTTCTGTGATAAAGATCAGCACTAGAATATTGCCACTTTTCAGTTAACTGCTGTACAGCACGATTATGACTTTTTTTCTGCTGAAACCATATGGCTTTAGATGATAAAAATACAGGAAATTGTACATTAAATTTTTACATGCCAAAATTAAAGCTGCCTATATGATGTTTGTATGAACAAGAACATGTAGAAGAATTTTCGTTATGTGACCACATAACTTTTTCTTTTTCCTCCTGATTGTACTCAAGCAGATAACTTAGTGCTTTGCTTCCTTGTGTTCCGGTTAATAGGAATACAGTACAA